TTTTTTATTTCAAATTTAGTTTCATCTACATGGTGAGAAATTAATATTTTTATACCATGTTTATAAGTAAAATCCTTTAAATCCAATTCACCCTCTAATTGTTGGTTGATGTATATTTCTTCTACTTCACTTCTTTTTATTTTTTTACCATAAGGTTTGTAAGGATTTATACATTCTCCTTCAGGATAATTTTGGTCTAACCAAGTTTGGACTTTCATAATAGTTATTTTAGGATAAAATTAGTTTAAAGAATGAAATTAATACTGACGTTAGTTTTTTGTAGAGTAATAACTATTAAACTGGTTCTAATATTTTCGGCTTCTTCAATACTGGGAGCAATTAATAACATTAAGGCTTTTTGGGAATTCAGATTATTTTGTTGGGTGTAATTATCTAAAAGAGTTTGTTTGGCTTCCAATAATTTTATCGCATCTTTTAATTTAGTTTCTTCATCCTGATAACCATCATAGCGACCAACCATAACTGGAATTTTGATTAACTTATCTCGCAAAGCCTTTCATAAAGGATACTCAAAAATAATTTCCTTGGTGGGTGTTTTTTCGTGTGGCGTGCCAGTTAGTCCAATTAAAATTTTTGGTTTTAGTTCTCGAATGGCTTCGGAAAACCTTTCTCCATAGTATAAATGGTGTTCGTCCGCAAAAATAACCAAATCATCCAATTTACTTAAATGTTCCCGTAAAGATTTTCCTAATACTTCATCATAATTACTAGTTTTGCGAGCCGTTTTGCCTTTGGCTTGGGTTAAAGATTGAACAGTGAAAATGAATAATTTAACCGAATTTTTGTCAGTAGTTTTGACCGTATGAAAATTTTTGATATCAATAATATGAGGTGGTTTAATAGTTAATTTATCCGCCAAAGAATTAGGTTTGTTGAGCGAAAAATTGTTAATGGTCTTTTCCCGAATGATTTTGCCCGGAGCAACGATGAGAAAATTAGTTATCTTTTCTGCTTCGGCTAAATAGTTTAAAATAGCCGCAATTATATAAGTTTTTCCTACTCCGGTGGCAACGGAAAGAATATATTCAGACAGTTTATTAAAATTGTCAAGCCTTCGGTCAGATAATTTTTCAGAATTATAATAATGTTCTAAAAATGTTTGAACTGCTTCCTTATTTGGTTGACGGAGTTCTAATTTTTTGGAAATGTTGTCGAGAATGGTTTGGTTAATCATTTTTTAAATTAATTTTATTTTTATCTAATAAATTTATCTAAATTATTTATTAAAAATTCATAAGTTTGAGAATATCTTCTAGTCTTTGGCTTTCTAAATTAAATTCTCAAATCTTTTCTCCTTCCCAAACTTTTATTTTCCCTTCTCGAATATCAAATTCTCAATTTCCTACTATCCCTCCTGTTAAAATCTCTTTTGGAGCATCCTTATAATTAATAAAAACAAATATTATATTTTCCAAAACATCGAAACAATTGTTGCATAAGTCCTCAAAATATTCACCGACTATTCCTAATCGAAAATTTTTTTTAATTATTTTTCCCTTTTCTATGTTTCGACTGAAATATTTAAACTTTACAGTTTCCGAACATCTTCGACAATTTTTATACTCCTTGACTCTTTTTTCTTTTAATTCTCCCATTTTAATTTCCCAAATAAATTTATGTTTTTCTCAACAACTAAGACAAGAAATTTTTTTATAGTCCTCTTTGAGACCATCATGAAAATTTTTTATCATTTCTTCGCTCTCTTTTCAACTTTCAAGTATCTCAGTAAGTAGTCTATTTTCTCGAGAATATAAACTTACATATTTCTCTGCTATTTCTTTGTATCCAACTCATCAATTTTCCACTGATTTTTCTCTTTTCTTAGTTTCTTCTAATTTTTCCCTTAATTCTTTTTCTCTTTTGTCTAATTCTTCTTTACTTTTTTCTCATTTTAGAATAGCCTTAACAAAAAAAATATTAAATTCTAAACTAAAACTGTTTGGTTTTCTAAACTTTTTATCCATATTGTATAATTATTTAAACTCTCGCATAATGTCTTAAAATATTATTCGGCACTTTACCAATTTTAACATTATTAAATTTTTTATTCTCTAATTCTGGGTCAACAGCCAAAGCAGCAATTTCTAAAAATTTATTTTCTTCCATAGAATTAAGTAAAAAATTAAGTAATCCCTCGGTCAACATTCCATCTACTACGGCTAATAAAACATCTCCTTTTTTGCCACAAAAATGTTCGTTGTCAGACTGATAATCATATTCTAATTGAGTAGCAACTAATTTTGCTAGTTTACCATTTAAGGCATGGTCGGCAATACAAATTATTCCGGAATGAGTAGCAAACATAGATTTTTCAACTTGAAAATAAGTAAATCCGCCGCCGCCAGTTCAATTTACTTCCTCACCAATCCCGCCTTTATCCTTGCCACTAACTACTTTTTTTAAACGAGGAGCAGTAAAATTATTAACTGTATTTTCGTTATTTTCCACAATAATTCACTTTCTCCCTAATTTTTGTGCTACTGCTGCGGTAGTCCCTGAACCAGCAAAATAATCTAAAACTACATCACTTTCATTAGTGGCAATCTCAATAATCCTTTTTAGTAGGCTTTCGGGTTTCGGGGTTTGAAATGGCTCAATTTCCGGAAACAATTTTTTAATTTCTTTTTTGGCTGTGGCACTACTTCCTACCTCCTCATAATGTCAGATACTCGAAGGAGGTTTCGTTTCGGTTTTGTCAGCGTATTGCTTCACAAAAGGTCGTCAACCATTTTTTCCTTTTACTCAATCAATTTCATTTTTTCTTTTTTCGTAAGTCAACACCCCTCATCTTCAACGCCCCGCGCCGTTCGGCGCATGGGGAAAACTGCTTCTCCATCGGGTGCCTTAATCGGATAAAACATATTCGGACGGTCAGCCCGAGCACTATTGCTTCCCGTTTTTCGCAAAGTAACCCGTTTATAATGTCGTCCTTTTTCGTCCTGGAACTTAAAATCTCCAAGGTTCAATTTTTTTTCTAAAAAGTTTGGTTTCCATTTTTCTCCGTCTTTTGAATAAACTAATATAGTATCGTGCCCTTGCGAAAATTGTTTGGCGTCCTCTTTCAAAAGATACATTTTTTTCTCAAATAACACTACTTATAAAATTTTCTTTCCCAAAAATTTCATCTAAAACCAGTTTAAAATGATATAACTCGGTATCGTCTAAATGAACTCTTTTTTCTTTTAATTCTCCCATTTTAATTTCCCAAATAAATTTATGTTTTTCTCAACAACTAAGACAAGAAAT